AGTGGTTAATCATTGGGTAACACAATTTGATGGTTGGGAGGGAGGGATGGCTAAAGGAAATAGAAATAATCTGGTGTGAAAAATAATGTATATGAACTTTGTAAGTAAACCAGTATAAAATAAAAATGGTATTTAAAAAATAAGTACTTCTATTTATGTTCATTTGAGAAGAAGGAGATTATGATAGTAAAAAAAATGTGAATGCTGCAGAACAGATTATATGCAAAGCAGGTTAGATTAACTGAGGGGGGTGGTCAGAGCAAGCTATTTACACAAGTGAAGCAAAACTTAGCCAGTAATCGTTTAAAAAATGCTGCAGAAGACACAAGATGCCAGAATTAAGGACAAAGGAAAGTTTATTATGCATAGGAAAGGCATCATGAGAGTATGAGATTTTTGATGGTTTGCCAAGCTGTATCTCTCAGAGGCCATGCAAAGCAGAACATGTGATATGGGAACATGCTTTAAAGAAAGGAGCCCTGAGCTGAGAAACTATGTATCTTTTATATTGGGAAGTATATTTGGCTGATCCTAGCTTTATTTTTATTATATTGCACATTTATAAAAATGAAGTAATGGGATTAGCCCTGAAGATAGACACTCTATTTTACAAGTCTCTGCACTATAAAAACATCTTGAAAAAGTCTGTCTTGAACAAAAGCAGACAATCAGTCCACTCACAAGACATACAATAACATGAGAAACTCAAGGAGAATGGTCTCCCAGCATTCCTTTTCCATTTGTATTACACACACACACACACACACACACACACACACACATTGTACATCATTACACAAAGAAACAAATTTTATATATATACATTTGTTGATTACCTTTGAGTTGAGCGTGACTCATAATTAATAGAGAGAGAGAGAGCACACATGAGAGAGAGTGCATGCGACAGAGAGTACACTGGTGGCCAAGTGGTAAGAAGCTGTACTGCAATCCCAAAGACACACTTTTCGAATTCACAAGTCCACCAGCTGCTCTGCAGGAGAAGGATGGGCAATCTCCTTTCATGGTATTAACGGCCTCTGAAAACCTACCTGAGGGTCAGCTATGGGTCAGTTCCAACTAGACAATACGCAACAACATATATAAATTATATATATAACCATGTATATGACAATTTATATATATATAACCATGTATATGACAATTTATATATATAACCATGTATTCTAACCACTGGGCCAATTGGCAGCGTCAGCATGGATGGTGAGGAGATTGAGATAGTTAACAGTTTTCATTTACTTGGCTCCACAGTCAACGCTCTTGGTAACAGCAGCCAGGAAATCAGGAGACAAATTGCATTGGGAAAGTCGGCTGTGAGGAACCTCTCAAGAGTACTGAAGAACAACGATGTCAGGCTGGAGACTAAGGTGCGCCTGATCTGGGCTATAGTCTTCGCAGTTATGTGCTATGTATGCATCAGAGAGTTGGACAGTGAATAGGGCTGATAGAAAGAGGATTGATGCCTTTGAGCTGTGGTGCTGGAGAAGAGTGTTGAATATACCATGGACTGCTAGGAGAACAAACAGGTTTGTCCTGAAGAGGGTGAAGCCAGAGTGTTCCCTGGAGTCAAGGATTCTGAAGCTTCGTCTGACATATTTTGGGCATGTTGCAAGGAGGGACTGGTCCTTGGAGAAGGACATCATGTTTGGCAGAGTGGAGGGGAAGCGAAGGAGAGGAAGACCTTTGGTGAGATGGATCGATTCTGTGACTGGAGCGGTGGGAATAAGTGCGTTTGAGATGGCTAGGTTGGCACAGGATAGAAGAGCATCTAGAGCTCTTGTACATAGGGTCGCTATGAGTCGCAAGCGACTCGATGGCACATAACAACAACAACAACAATATGACAATTTATATATATAACCATGTATATGACAATTTATATATATAACTATATATAAATAACTATATATATGGATAAACAGCATATAATTTATATAAATGTCTTTATATATAAATTAAAATGGATCTTTTTAACCTGGACTTAGAACATTGAAAATAGTGGTATTGGTATTGGTATTGCTACTGATACCTAGTCATCAAATACTACAATAAATATTTTTATACATGTTGTTGTCATTGTTAGGTGCCATTGTGTCATGTCTGACTCACAGTGACCATATGTACAATAGATCTGAACCCTGCCCTTCCTGTGCCATTCTTACCATCTCTGACACACTTGACCACACTGCTATAGTCACTGTGTCAATCCATCTCATTGGAGGTCTTCTTCTCTTTTGCTGATCTTCTACCTTTCCAAACATAGCATCCCTTTCCAAGGAATCCCTACTATCTTAGTAACATGTCCAAAGTGTAGAGTAGACAAATATGTATTTTGATTTATAAAATGTACATTCTACAGGCTAGAAAAAATGGCTGATGATGATGATTTTACCTAAGATATATGCCAAGATGTTGCTATCTATTTCAAACTGAGAAAGACTATCCAAATTTATCACTGGACTTGTTCAACACAAAATTAGAAAAGTAATGCTTTAGATTATTTGCTTTAATGATAGCCATTATGCTGTTGTAGTAGTTAGGTGCCATCAAGTTAACTATGCCTCATAGCAACTTTATGTCCAACAGATCTGAAACTTGCCCTACTCTGTGCTGTCCTCACAGTTTCTGACATGCTTTAGCCCATTGCCACAGTCATTGTGCAATCTATCTAGTTGGAAGTCTTGCTCTCTTTCTCTCGCCCGCCACCTTTCCCAGCATGATCTTTTTCTAAGAACTAGCTCCTCCTGACAACATGTCCCAAGAATGTGAGACTTTCATCATCCTTGTCTGTAAGGAGCACCCTGGTTGCACCTCCACCAAGACAAACTTGTTTGGGGGTTTTTGGCAATCCATGGGACAGTCAATAATCTTCTCTAGCATATGCATATCTTTTTTTTAACCCATATACATTTCACTGGAAGAGAATTCTTTAAAAAATGTTAAGATGTCAACATCTAGAAAATTATCTTTCCCCTGTGAATAATACATACTACCAGCCTTGAGGAATGAAACTAAATAGAATTTTCTCAACAGAATTTTTATCTTTCCTTTATTCTTGAGGAAACTGACGTCCAAAGACATAAATGACTTGAAGGTGGCCAGTAACTAGTTAATGTCAGAGCAGAGACTAAATTCCGCATGCCCTGACTTGGTGCACAAAGCTCTTTCTTCTTATCCAAACCCACATACATGATATGATAAAGCTTTCAGATTGGGGTATGCACAGCCCTGCAGGCAATGGCTGTGTGCCAGGGAACGAAAGCCGCAGAATAAACAGAGGGTGTCTTGCTTCAATGTAAATATTACTCAAAGATTTGATGGGAATTATGGGGTCCTCTTTATTTTTATATTATGACAAGATTGATTATAAAGGAGAATGTACATTGTACATGAATTTTTAAAATTTCAGAAAGGATTCCTCTGGCTATGGTCCCCCTTTAGAGATAAATGCTGTCTCAAGTCATTTTGCAGGAATAGTTCTTCCATAAAAAATTTAAATCACCAGTATGAGGATGCCGAGGTAGGGCATCTTAGCCAATAAATGCTTTCATTAGCTTGACATGTTATAACGGAATTGCATTATTTTAGCATTTGTTGTTATCTGCCATCCAGTCAACACCAGCTAATGGCTACTTTATGTTCAGTGTTATTGTGTGCTACGGTCACCACTGACTCTGAAGTGGGTTTTCAAAGACAGTTAATTGCGCTGGAGGAGAATGCCTATTCTTCTCCTGAAGAGCAGCAGCTAAATTCAAACTGCATGCCTTCAGGATTGAAGCACAGCTTCTCACCAGTAGACCTTCTGAACTCCCTTTTGTACAGTAGAATGAAATATTATTTGGTTCACAACAAAACGTATGTCTGAGTCATCATTGTGACTACTTCACCAATCACCTCACCAAGGGTCTCCCAAGCCCCTTTGGCGTTCTTACATTATGTTCTGCTCTTGAGATTGATCCTGCTGAATGGCCCACTGCAAGCAAGTAAGCCAATGTTCTGTCGTGAACCATAAGCTTTTCATTCGTTAACGTGATGCGTGGCTGTAGATCATTAAACCTTTCTTCCTTGTCCTTCTTGGTCTGGAAACATCACCGAAACCTGTTCACCACAGGAGATGCTGCTGGTATTTGAAATGAAAAGGCCATAGCTTCTCACAAAGCAGCAACATGCAAGTGACCACGGTGTCAAATTGACAGTTCTATGGTACAATTAAGTCTTAATAATCTAGTTATATTTTTCTCATGAAGTAAGAACATGCAAAAGCTTTATAATGAATAAATTGTCCATTCCATTTTTAAAAACAAGACTTGCTTTCTCCCCTTTATCAGTGTAACTTAAAAGGGTGCATATAAATATGAAAGCTAAAATGTTATTTCAGTAGAAATTATCTGGGTTTTAGGTTAATCCTGTAAGATGTGCTCAAGAAGCATTTTGCATATGTTTCTAAATATCACACTTGTGTAATACAGAAAATTGAGTATGTCTGTATTTACATTTTTCTATGCAACATATTTGCAAATAATGCCTGAAATGCTATAATGCATTTTAACAACAAAAATGAGAGACAAGAGTGGGGTGGTGGGAATGAATGTGTTTGAGACTGCGAGGTTGGCACAGGAGAGAATGGCGTTTAGGGCTCTTTTATATAGGGTTGCTATGAGTCGCAAGCGACTCGATGGCACATAACAACAACAATAAAAAGTAGATGACTACAGTTTAGGCCCTCTCACTCACTCGGGGTCGGCCATAGCTGACCCGTCACCCTGCAGTTTCTGCAACGCACATCACATGGCTACGGAGTGAGCATCCAAGGGGCAATGCAATGGTGCTACCAGGTAACGCGTGCAAACGTCACAGCAGTCAGAGTTCGACTTCAAACCTTCTGATTCTTGGTTGACAAGGAAACAGGAACTGTCAACAACTGTGAAAGCAATAAGCCCTGATTCAAGCCTGGCAAATCCAAGCACTTCCTGCTACCTAGAATGTCAACGACTCGGAGCCCAAAGGTCGGCCTTCGAGACCACAGGGTCTCAAGCACGGAGAGGAAGCCCTACGACGCCAGGGAGAGCAGCCGTCAGGTGAGTCCCTTTTGATTTGGGATTACCTCTGTTCCGCACGAAGACTTTTCTTGGCTTTCTCTCAACTTCTGCTGCCGATATAATTGTGATGATTGAGAGATTAGGCGAGGAACTTGGAGTCTTGAATTAAGAATTTCCACCAAAGAATAGCTTTTAATAAATTCATCTATCTAAATAAATCTATGCTTTTATAGAGGGAGCTCTGGTGACGTAGGAATTGCACTGTTAATCCAAACACGCCTTCTAGCAGTGGTTGGAATCCACTAGCTGCTCTTTGAGAAAAGATGGACAATCTTCTCCCATACAGTTTGTTGTTGTTGTGTGCCGTGGCATCAGAACCAACTCCTGGCTGACCATTCAATGGGTTTTCAGAAGCAGTACATCACACCGCGGGAGATTGCTCGGCCTTCTCCTGTAAATCAGCTGATGGATTCAACACATGTGGGTCAACTATGAGTTGGTTCCTACTTGATGGCAATGAATTTGAATTTGTTTTGGTCCAAAAGTATCCTTATGAAACCTTCCATAACACAAAATAGCTTCAAACAATCGCTATTAATTCATGTGGGAAACATTTTTTCAGCATTCTAGACAATAACACTAAATCCTAGCAAATAACAGGTATGGGCCCAAAATAGCCCTAGGAGACAGTCAAAAGCTGGATGGAGTTTGAAGAAAGCACGCTCATGGTGGTACTTCTTTAATGGCTGCAAAGCAAAAACTGAGCACAACAGTCTCACGGTCCACTTTAAAAGAAACCAAAAACAAACAAACCAAAAAACACAGCCAAAATCATACTCCCTAGATTTCTGTCAGTTAGTGAAAATACATACTAATAGTAACATACTTTTGTTGTTGTATTCCATCCAGTGGAAAGCAGCCCATAGCTGACCCCTACAGGAGGTTTTCAGAGGCAATAAATCACAAGTGAGGAGATTACCCTTCAAAGAACAACAACAAAAAAACCCCTCAACATAAAATTGTTCACTATAGATTAATAAGTAAAAACACAAGCAAACTCGTAATTACCCTGTTGGTAATCTGTCACCTTTCTTAGCTTCACATTGTTAAGTCACCATCACTCTGCCTTTATTCTCTGCTTCCACTTGCTTGCCAGTCCCTGCCAATTATCTCTTCACACCCTGTCACATCTGTTGACTGCTCATTCCCCCTTGCTATTATGTTGGGCCAGACTGACTAGTTCTGCCTTAGTTTTTCAGAGGTGGTCTTAACAGTGTTTCTCTGCACCTCAGGCTATTTAAATGAACTTGCTGAGGCCCTGCTTTGTTACTTCCTTGCTCTGTTACTTTTTTCACCCCCAATGAAAAATCCAGGGACTTTTCCCTCTTGTTGTAGCTAGGTGTCATCAAATCAATTCTGATTCATAGCAATGCCACATGATAGAGTAGAGCTGCCTCATAGGGTTTTCTAGGCTGTAATCTTTATAGGAAAAAATTTCTCAGGGTGGGTTTGAACTACCAACTTTTCCACTGAGAGCCAAGAAAGTAACCACTGTGCCACCAGTACCTTTTGTTACTCCAGAATTGAACCCAATGCTGAATTTAGCCAGTAATTAAGCCCTTGCTTTTACAGTTCATTAACGCAAAGACAATATACATAAAAAGAGGGAGGAATGTAGAAAAATGCCTTTAAAAATAGTTTGATATTAGATATTGTTTCATAACATTGATGTGGTTATCCTGGGGAAAATTAAAATCTCGCTGAACTGTCTTATACTAATTTTATCATGCTGTTAGTATATATCTATTTCATATGTATGTTTCTATGTACAACAAAATTATATCATTTTTAAATTACAGAATACATATGTGATCTTAAATTAGAGTTCTCAGGGCTCTAGTGAAATATATTATAGACCTCTGAGATTCAATGTCAGAGTTAATGTAAATAAAATGAATTCAGTCCACCTTTCTTAGTTTATTTCTCACTGTGCTTCTCACTGCATCCAAAGGCTATGCAACCATACCTGCCTCACACTCTTATTTTGCAAACTTACTCCTTTCTGCTTCTAGTTTTCTTTCTGTTTCTAGTTTTCTTCATCCTTCAAGGTCCATCTTGGCAATCCTGCCCCCCAATCTTCTTTGATTGCCCAGAGCAGGTTTTTCTTGACTTATGGCCCTTGAAACTTGGCAGCCATCTTTATAGCATTTTAGGTCCCTTTGTTAAAACGTTTGCTCCTCAATGGCAGCTGCCTTAATGGACTTTGTTACATTAGCCAAAACAGCCAAGTCACAGACCATCATGGCTACCCCAGACCCAAACGTATTTGTGACCGAGAAATGTCAGAGTGAATCTGCTTGAACCCACTTTTGAAAAATTTTAATTTTAAAGAATACTCGTTGGGCTTCTTTAGACTGAAGGAATATGCTATTGAAACTGTCTATTGACGGAGAACTAGACCAGATCCCCCAGGTATTCATTGAAGCTTGATACTTTTGGGTATGTTCTCGCATTTCTTGGCACTTTGACATCAATACTTGTCACCAGATTTATATGAAGTTTTTGTTTGGAAAGACATAATCATAATAAAACCTGAGTGAATAAAAATTAATTATATTAAAATTTAGAATAGTATGCTAATGCTTTCAACTTTTCCTTCTAGCTCTTATTTTTTAAAAATATTATTTAGATCTGTAAATAATGATTTTCACCTAAAATTTTCAAGATGGGTTAAATTATATTTAGGCAAATAACACACAAATTGTGGGTTTTTCAATACAGAATGATTCCTAGATATTCTTTTAGTAAACACAGAATACCAATTTTTTTTAAATGTTAATGACATGTCAATATTTTTTTTTTCCTGTGCAAGGGATTTAATGTCAAAGCTTCTTCTTGGTACTTGCTGATGCACAAATTTGGTCCCCAGTAGTAGACCCTCACGAGCCTACCCTGCAGTGTCTAAGGCAGAATTTCTTGCCTGCTTTGAAAACTTGTTTGCTCCAATGCAGAAGGAAATTGCTTTTTCTAACCCCAAAACAACCCTCACTGGGTTTTTATCCCCAGTAGGAAGTGCACAGGTTCTTACACCCGGGCTGGAGAGACTACTTGGACAGTTGACAGAGACAGTGGAGCCGACTGAGATCCAGGAACAGAGAGAAGTGTGGTCTTCACTGAAGTTCAGACACCATGAGTCTGACCAGCTACATGAGTCCCCATAATCTGGGATAGGATATCCCTGGACCTGCACTGGCTTGCTGCCTGGCTTCATGTGGGGCAGCAGGGGAAATATTACAGGAGTCCCACACATCTCCAACTGCCATGAAGCCAGCACAGTCTTGGCCTGTGGCAGCTACTACATGCAGCACTTCAGACCTGTTAACAAGGCAATGTCCCTGGACAGAAATTAGCTATAAGGAGCTCTCCCAGTCTAAGGCCTAGCTGTGAACTGACTCGGATTGAGCAAACAGTTTGAGTTGCTTTGTTTTTCAATTATTGTTGTTGTTGTTGTTGTTATGTGCCGTCGAGTCGCCTACGACTCATAGCGACCCTGTGTACAACAGCCCTAAACTCCACTCTGTCCTGTGCCAATCGCATCGTCTCTGACACTCCCATCCCAATTATCCCAGTCACTGAATCAATCCACCTCATAGAGGGCCTTCCTCTCCTGTGCTGTCCCTCCACCCTCCCAAGCATGATGCCCCTCTCTAAGGACCGGTCTCTCCTCACAACATGTCCAAGGTATGTTAGACGGAGCCTCAGAATCCTTGCCTCCAAGGAGCCACCCGGTTTAACCCTTTCCAGGACAAATCTGTTTGTTTTCCTAGCAGTCCATGGTATTCTCAATACTCTTCTCCAGCACCACAGCTCAAAGGCATCAATTCTCCTTCTATCCTCCTTGGTCATTGTCCAACTCTCTGATGCATAACAAGTGATTGGGAAGACCAAAGCCTGTATCAGATGCACCTTAGTCTCCAGAGAGACACCATTGCTCTTCAGTACTTTGGAGAGGTCCCTAACAGCATTCAAACCATAACTTTTTTATTACGCAAATTTCCCTCCACACTTTCTTTCATTGACATAATATTTCATACAATAATTTACATACATTGTGTTTTATAAATTTAACCACCATTGAACTATGTCCACCACTACCCTGACTTTTCAAGTCCCTTCCAGATCTTTCCCTTTTCCTTTTCCCTCTTTTTTTACCCACCAAATTGTGAAAGCCTGTGATTTCTCACTACCCATCCTCATCCCTCTACTCCCACCCCTTCCCTGCTTGGACTCACACACATGTTTTACTAGTTATCCTTCTATATTTACAATAATAGTCTTATGCAGTATTTGTCCTTATGAGACTGAGTTCACTCAGCACAATGCTCTCCACTCTCCCAAGGTACATAATAGTTTTCAAAATCATTTCTTCTGAGTTCACGTAGTATTTCACTGTGTGAATGTACCACAATTTTTCAATACATTTAGTTGTGGTTGAACATTCGGATTGTTTCCATGTTCTTGCTATGGTGAATAACACTGCTATGCTAGAAATACATAACTTCTTAATAATATAATATACCTTCATTATACAAACATGATCAAAAATATTGTTTTTGGACTATTGAGTGAGAGATTTAAGGGAAATGAGGCTGAAATTTGCTTCTGGAAATATAAGATATGAGTGTGGTATGCTAGAACTATTTTTACATAATCACATAGTTTTTGCCCATTATATGTGTATGCAGATTACTTACCTATATGTGTTATTTGCTAGGTTTTTCTGATTATCTAATTAATATGTGCTTTCTGTGCTTCATTGACTGTGCAAAGGTATTTGACTGTGTGGATCACAACAAACTATGGCTGACTTTGAGAAGAATGGGAATCCCAGAACACTTGATCATGCTTAAGCAAAACCTATACTTGGACCAGGAGGAAGTCATCAGAATAGAGCAAGGAAACACTGCAGGGTTTAAAATTTGGATAGGTGTACACCAGGGATGTGTCCTGTCTCCATACCTTTTCAATCTATATGCAGA